GTGATTTTTTTCTTGCTATCTACTAAAACAACCTAATGTTTACTATGAATCAGTTTTTCAAATAGAAAGAATATTACAAGTATTTTTAAAAAAGGCAAATTTTACATTTAAAATGTAACATCCAACTTAAAGAACTGCTAAAAATAATTAAAAGTTTGTTAACCTTGTAATTAAATCCGTGCTCTTCTTAACAATAGGAATTCATTTGTTTTATGCATTAGTGAAATTACATCTGCATCTCCTGAAAATGGAGTTGATGAATTCGTGTACCAACGATACTTCCTTCAATATAAGACAAATAGGATAAAGAAATTAAAACTAATGCAAGATTTCTTCACATGAAATGTAATTCTAAAAATTATTTTTCTTAGAAGCTATTAGGATGTGCAGGTGGTGTAATGGATAGCAGCTTGGAATGGGAAATTAGAGAGCCAAGTTCAAATTTCATTTAGGTTCAATTATATTCACTTAAGTGCAAATACCATGGAGAAATCTATGAATTCATCTTCTATCCCAGCTATGGGTTAAATAGTAAAAACTGCATTTGTTGTTCTTACAAACTGTTTAAGCAATATTTACTTGCAAGACAAGAATTATTCTTACAATTCAAAATATGCTTTGGCTTTACAGACAAAGTGTTGATAAGTCATAAAAAACAAATCAATCAATTAGAAGCTATTAGGATGGTTTGATCAAAAGTATTTTTCGTATGTAAAATTAAATTTGAAATAACCATTTATGTACATGTATATATTTTTGTAATCACATTTCTAATTGTGACACTTTTTTTATTTTCATTTTTTATCATTTCACTCTAAGCAAGGTGATAACACCACTAGGATGCATGCAGGTTACTGGGGAGTAAAAGAGAATGAGAAGATGTAGTGAGGAGAAAGGACAGGTTTCAGGAAGACAGAAAATGGTGATTGACATTGCATTTAAATTTTTGAAGATTTTAGGTGGCAAGGAAGTAAGAAATCAGAAGAGAGTTCCACAGGTGAAAAGTATGAGAAAAGAAACTATTAGAATAGAATTTATGGTTACATCCAAAGTTGTGTAGGTCTTTCTTAGGTTTAGTATTAGTACAGACCTACAAATAACATGGTTGCTGGAAGAACAAACCCTTATGTTAAGTATAGAAGTAAATATCCAAAAATAAAACAGTCAAAATTGTACTTGAAGTTATTTTATGTTATATTTTTATGAAATTTCTGGCAAATTTCATATTAATCCCTCTTTAAAACAATAAACATTGCCGAGGTGTGAAGTTTAAATAATAGCAGTGTCAATGGAAAAACTGTCGTTTTGACATTTTTTTGTTGGCATGAAGGTCCAAATTTTGCCAAAAGAACAATAAAAAAAGGGAATTAAGAAAACAGAAGATAACAATTTCATCCCAAGCAAAACAATAATCCATTAAGACACATGGTTGGGAACAGAGAATGAGAAAATGTTAGTGAAATGAAGGGACAATAAAAGAACAAGTTTTAGTAAAACGTGAGATGACGACTGACATTGCATTTAAATTTTTGAAGATTTTAAGTGGCAGGGAAATAAAAAATAGAAGAGAGTTCCACAGGTGAGAAAAGAAACTATTAAAATAGTACTTATGGTTACATCTAAAGTTGTGTAGTTATTTCATATGCTTAGAATTACTACAGACCTACAAGTAACATGGTTGATGAAAGAACAAACCTTTATAGTAGTAAATTCCCCATAATACAAGAATCAAAATGGTACTTGAAATTATTTTATGTTGTCTTTTTATGAAATTTCTGTCAGACTGCATATAAATAGCACTGTTGTCATAAACTATTTGAGTTCTTCTCTGAAAATAAACTAAAAAATATTATCCATATTAATATATTCACTTATACTTACCTACCTACTTATTTGGCAATTTCAAAACATCATTTTTAAAATTTTTTAATTCATATGGTCAAGCTACCAAGGAGGAGAGCTCATTAGAAAATCTGCATTGAAATTATTTCAGAAAAGACAGAGGGAAGCCATGTCACGGTGGATGTCAGGATCTCAGATCTGGACAGATAACATTAGAGACACTTCCTTGGATTTTGTCAAGAATCTTGAGATATATAGCCAGAGCACCAGACCAAATATGGCAGTAATATCCGATGCATGGAGGAAACAAAAAAAAACCAAAAAACATTGCATTAATCCATGCTTCCTCAGTAGAGAATTGTCAAATATCTGATCATTCAGTGACAGATCTTAAATGAAATATAATCATAGTATTAACCATTTCCTTATAAGACATAAAGAAGTCATGCTATTGTGGTAGGAAAATGACTGAAGTTGAGATGCCAGGTCAGGATTGATAACCTAACAGACACTGGATTTTGTCAAGATATATAGCTGGAGCACCAGATCAGATATGGCAGCAACATTCAATGCACTGATAAATGGTAAATTTATAAATGTGTAAGATGGATTCCTGTGAGAAAAATTGTCTTGCATGGCACAGTGAAGCAACTTTCCTAGTAGCAAATCTAGCAATTGATTCAATATAATCACTTCATGTCATTAGAAATGATTAAACCAAGAAGGTGCACTGTTGCTTTCTTAGAAGTTAGCATCAGCCATGCTGGTAGAGGGCAAAGATGGTTTGATGATTAAAAGATAGTGTCATGTCTATAAAAAATAAGTAAATAAAAATTGATTATAGTGTCAAAAATAATTATAATAAAATAATTATAATGATTATAATTATCATTAATTCACTCATTCTAAGGAGGAAAATAAGCTTTATTAAAATTTTGTTTAATATTCACTTGTTCACTCAGATTTACTCATGTCTAACCACATACATTCAGAAAGTGAAATGAGCCACATGTGGCCTGTAGGCCCCACTTTGCCCATGACAGATCTAGTTATTTAATTTAGACATACTCATTCAGCTTATTATTGTTTGTTTGTTTTTTAATAATTATTATTTTTAAATATCCCACATTGAATCAGCAGCTGCTTTGTAAAGAAAGGAAATATCTTTTCAAAGTATTTACTCTTCATCTTTTAGATTATGAAGAAACATAACTATTCCAAAATATAATTTGTTGTATTGATTTGAGTAGAAGTTTATGAGATCATTTTTCTTGGTGTATGTTTGATAGATGTTTAGTTTCAGATCATCATCAGTACAGTTTGATATAATATCAAGGAAAGGTAATGTATTCTTTGTTTCCATTTCGTACATAAATTCAACTATATGTTCAATGTTGTTTAGGTTATCTACAAGATCAGCTAATATTGTTTATTATATATTAATATATTGAAAAAAGCATCATTGATATATAGGAAATATGTTGATTTTTTGTTTGTTGTTTACTAATGTTAATCCAAGATAAGGCCCAAGAGTCACTCAAGGTAGAGGGTTATTGTATATATTTATATTAGTATACGAAAGGACAAGTGTTAGGAGTATGGAGCTGAAGTAGACTTTAGAAGGAATTGGAAACCCAATCCTAAACAAGAAACAAGGGATAGACTTCTACTCTTATTGGTGGCAGAGGGAAAAAAAATGTAATACATAGTGAATAAAATTTCAGAGTTTAGGCACATACATTAGGAGTATAGAGCTGAAGCAGACTTTAGAAGGAACTGGAAACCCAATCCTAAACAGGAAGTAAGGGATAAACCTCTACTCATGTTCAAAAGACTGGCAAGTAATAGGCAAAATATATTAGAAAGGGCCAGTTTCTAGGAATTATAAGAAAAGACATGCTAATACACCACTAAAAGGTAACCTATCTGTAAACATAATTCCGGTCTATAGCAATTATTATTGAAAGTCAAATAACTGTGTGTCACAACTTGGTAAGGGGGTTTGTAATAACAATGACAATGCAGTTTAGTCTAGTAACTTTTGTCTGCAAAAGCGATATTCCTGCTTTTTATTTACATATACACAATATGGCTGACATGGTACTTCCATGTCTGAACAAGAGCTGAAATGGTACTCCTGTTTCCTTAGTTCCCAGTTACAATGCTGTGGTTTGTAATAAGTCAGTAAATCCTAATAATTTTGTCTATCAATCAATAGGGACTAGTTAGTCTTTGATTTTACTAGACATTTCTTTAGAAGCATTTATTAACTGGTACATTAGTGTATAAGGAGGCACAGTGGAGTAAATGGATAGCAACTCAGATTGAGAAATTACATTTGAGTTTGTTATATTTACTTACATTCAAGTACCTTTTAGAACAGAATGAATCTATCTTCTTGCTGCCAGCTATGGGTAAATAAGAGAACAAACTTTATCCTATAGCCTTGGCAACTAGTCTAGAAGAAGGACAACTCTGAATTCAAAACCTCCAAGTACAAGTTAAATAGCCTCACTAACCCACAATTAGCCAAGCATGGTGAGTATGGTTACATACCTGAAGATATAGTCAATCAGGAAAGGGTTTCTAGAACAGAAGTGAGAAGGCCCTGTATATGAAGCTGATCTAATGAGCTTTTATCCTTAATACCTTTTTAGTATATAAGCATTTAATATCTAAACTAGCCATAAGCCTATCTTTCTTATTTGGGTGAGATGCAGTGTATACTGCGTTTCGGAAATCTATTGCGAATTAGTTATTTATTGTGAAAAAAAATCACGGATATATTTGAATATCCATCATAATAAAAATTCAAAACAACTTACTTTAAATGTCATTACTTGATCATAAATGTCATAAAAACGAAATTGGCAAAGAAAATAATAAAAGTAATTTTACAAGCCAAAAAAAAAAAAAAAAAAAAGAAATTAAAGAAAGACATGAAAATAGAAAGGAAATCATTTGATGGTCCAGAAGGATGACAAAACAAACAGATGAACGATCAATATTGTTTGTGAAGAACGTAAAAGAAAAAAAATATTCAAACTTAATTTTTTGTAACTTTTGAAAATGATTTTTATTTATTTATATTTCTGTGTGAGAATTGTTATGGCCACATCACAAGAACCAACAATCTTTCCACTACAATCCTACAGTGCTTATGGCCATATCATGTTGAAACACTCATTCCCATATGATCACCAAGGTTAAGCAATGTCGAGCCTGATCAGTACCTGGATGGGTGACCGTTTGGGAATGCCAGGTGTAGTATGCATGGATGTGCATGTGGTATGGTTTATGGTCATATAACATTGAAACACCAGTTCCAATAGGATCATCAAAGTTAAGCAATGTTGATCCTGGTCAGTACTTAGATAAGTGACTACTTGGGAATAACAGGTGCTATAAGCTTGGATGTGCAGGTTGTGTAATGGATAATGGCTCAGAATTGTTAATTGGGGACAGCTGAGTTCCAATTCCAGTTGGGTTTGTTATATTCACTTATTCACAAATACCCTTGGGATATATATGAATCCACCTCTTCTTCTCCCCAGGTATAGGTTAATTAGTAAGTCTTGTATCACTAAATCATTATTATCTATAAAAAAAATTCTTACAATGTAAAAATATTTTCTGGCTTTAAAAAGCCAGTGGTTGATAAGCCATAAAAAAAATGAATCAATCAATCAACAATCTTAAGGAGAAGAAACAGACAGAAAAAATGGGCTGACAACATCACTGAGTGAACTGGAAGATTATTCAAAAAGATGTTGGCATGCAACTGAGACATATCGGGGGAGCTGGTCAGGTGCAAGGCTGGTACAAGGGTCTTTTGCCCCTACCCACTGAATCTATAATACAGGGCTCTCTACTCTACTACATGTCACTTTTCTTAAGGTAGTATTCATATAAAATACAAATTTTATTGTCACTTAATTACAACAATGGATCATTTGCAATATAGGTGATAATTCAAGTAGAAAAATTGAAAATAAATACAATGTATCCAAATACAAATTAGAAACCTGTCATAATAGATCATTTCATCTTAAATAAATCAATGTTTAATGGAGATTTTTAACATCAACTTGTAATTTTATTTTTCTTGTTAAAGTGTTGAATAATTTTAACACGTTCAACAGTATGGATGAAAAATAGTGAATTTTATATAGTGTTTTTTGAGATTTAGCATGAGCAAAATAAATTCGCGAGTTTGGATTAGAAAAAAAAAAAAAAGACCCCAGAATGATGTCAAAATCTGAAAATTTTTCCTCCTTTAATAGTCAGTTGAACTTCATTTAATTTGTAACATATATAAATGTAGGTAGACAAAAGCAAATGTTGATAAGATAACAAGGGTCACAAAGCACTGCTCAGGGCCCCTAATCATCCTCCTGGCTGGGAAGGGGTCTGATGATGGTATTAAAACCACATCCGGTCATGCAATAAATCATGATCATTACGTGTGTGTTTAATTTTCATTAATATTAAAATTATTAAAATTTAATATTAAAATTATTAAAATTTAATGTTAAAATAAAATAAGAATGTCTTTGATTTTCAACTTTATTTAATTTATGCATAAAAGATAAACTCTTCTTCACATGACTGTTTTGTTAAAATAGAATGTCATAATATTGTATGATCTATGGAAATGGCTATTAAGGAACAAAGTTATTCAAATATTTTAATAACACAGAAAATATCATGGTTAGGTTTAAACAATATCTTATCCATTTTAAAACATGTCCTTCTTTGCTTGTCCTGCACATCATATGTGATGCGCAGGACATGCAAAACTAAGGACATTTAAGATAAGAGTCTATTATTGAGTAGAACGCCTGAGGAAAGGGTTAATCTAATATTTTGCGCATCACAGGACACTTGACTGATAATGTAAGGTCTCAAATGAAAGACATCTATTTTTCCACTTTATTAAAATGATTATAAACTTTGCACCACATGTGATGTACAGAGCGTAGTGTAAATAACTTATGATTTGTATGCTTTTATTATGTGAAACACTACACATAAGCACATTCCATTTGCTAAATAAGCTGAGTTGCCTTCCAATAGTTATAAATCTGAAAACAAGCATGAATGTTTGGATATTACACACAAAAATGCCCTGGACAGGAAAGGGTTAACTTTCTAAACTTTCATAAAAGACAACATTCATTATTGTAATGAAATGACTGTTATTTATAAAGTCAACAGGGTTTTTTTTGCCTACCAAATGATACATAGATATTTGAATAAAAATAGACAAATTTAGTTGCTGCTCTGAATAGGAGCTGAAGAGTTGAAGACAATTGTTACATTGAAATTGCAATATTACAGTTCCTCGTCTTCTATGTGTTGTGTCCTTTCATGGCATGGGTGAGCATGGCTCTCCACAATTTCCTGCCTTCCTTTGTAGGTTTTAGTAAATTTTATCTTTTTGCTATCTCTCCTAATCCCTGTTCTGCCAATCACTTACACAAATTCCTTCTAAGTATTGTGTCCTTTCAGTACATGTGCAATTATGGCTCTCCACAATTTCCTGCCTTCCTTTGTAGCTCTTACTAAATTTTATCTTTTCGCTATCTCTCCTAATCCCTGTTCTGCCAACCATTTGCGCAAACTCCTTTTCTTCTTCTATATGACATGTCCCTTCAGGACGTTCGTGATCATGGCTCTCCACAATTTTGTGTCCTTTGTAATGTTAACCTTTTTCTTATCTCTCCTAATCCCTGTTCTGCCAATCATTTACACAAGCTCATTAGGTAGGTTATGCACAGTTTTCCCTCTGCCACCCTTGCTTTGTTTATGTACTGTGAGTGTCAAATTTTCTAAGCCTTCTTACCGCATCATGTGCCCTAGTAGTGACTTGAGGCTGTTTTTACAAGACAAAGTCTATTTGAAAAATTATTAGTTCTGTTTGATTCTGATTTGTGCCAAGTATTAAATACATTTGTGTTTCATTTTTTTTTAGATATAACTTTAAAATTTTTTATATAAATGTATTTGTTGAAGATTTTTAATAAATATACACCTACAGACTTCTCCACAATTTCCTGTCCTTTGTAAGTCTTAGTAAATTTTGTCTTTTCACTATCTCTCCTAATCCCTATTCTGCCACTCTGTTATATGCCCTGTCTCTTCAGAATATGGGCGATCATGGCTCTCCACAATTTTGTCTCCTTTATAAAGTTTGTCTATTTGCTATATCAACTAATCCCTGTTCTGCCAATCATTTACACAAACTCCTCCTTCTATGTATTGTGTCCTTTCAGGATATGGGCAATTATGGCTCTCCACAATTTCCTGCCCTTTGTCACTCTTATTAAATTTTGTCTTTTTGCTATCTCTCCTAATCCCTGTTCTGCCAATCATTTACACAAGCTCATTTGTTAGGGTATTCACTGTTATCCTCTATCCCTCTTTTTGATTCTAAACATAAGTGTCCATTTTGTTTCCATTTTCTCTAGAACTTCATCATTGTTCACATGTTCAGTCCATGGTATTCTTAACATCTTTCTGTAGAACTACATTTCTGTTGCATCAATTCTCTTCTTCATCTGTGAAGTGATTGTCTAGCATTATGAAAACACAGAATATAGGATTAATGCTAGACAGAGTATTATGAGACAGGAGGGTTTCATTGATAACAAAGAAAAGAGTACTGAACTTCTATATGATATCTGTTCTCCTTTATGTCAGCAAATGTTGGACAGTCTCCTCAAAGATGAAGAAGAGACTTGAGGCAGCAGATGTATGGTTCTACAGAAAGATTCTAAGGATACCACAGACTGAACATGTGAGCAACGATGAGGTTTTGGAGAGGATGCAAACAAAAAGGAAACTCATACTTAACATCAGGAAGAGGCAGCTGATATTTCTGGGACATGTAATGAAAAAGAAGGGCTTGGAAAATCTGATACTCACAGGACAGAGGGAAAGGGGGACAAGAGAAGCAACTCATGATATACTGAATGGGCTCAAGCAAATGGATGGTAGAACTGGGTCTGGGAGAAATTACAAAAAGACAAAACTTATTGAAAACTACAAGAGACAGGAAGTAATGGAGATCCATCATCACCCATGTCCTGAAGGGAGATGGTGCATAAAAGAAGAAGTAGTAGTAAGAGAGACAGCTCAAGATGTTAGCTGCAAATTGGAGATATCAAAATCAAAGAAGTCTAAAGTTTTAACATATGATGGAAAGTATGACAATAAAATCAAAGATGTATTTGGATAGCAATAGAAGACTGTCAAAAACTAAACAAAGTATTAAAAAACAGTAAAATTTCATTAGAAACAAAGAAAAGAGTACTCAACTGCTGTATAATATCAGTCCTTCTATAAAAATCCAGTATGTGCATTTAGTAAATAAAAAACTAGTTATCTCAGTGTAAAGAATTTGATGTTCCCAATATATTAATTTGGCAATATTTTTTTGTTCACAACTATGAATTCTATCTTCCTAATCTTATATTATTTTCAGTATTTACATTAGTCGGACTATTGTCCTCATCTTTGTCGCCATATTTGTCACAACGTTTTGGCCGTTATGCGCTTTTGGGTCCTTCAGGTGGTCTAACCAACTGAACCCTTTATTTCCACTGTGCCATGTTCCAGTGACAGACCCAAAGAAGATGGATGAGTTATCACCTTATCTCCAGGAGAATTTTCAGAGGAAAAATTAGCAGGAGATAACTGCCTGACATCTTTCAAACATGTCACTGGATGGAACCAACAGCCTTTATCCACTGTGATTGAAATAAAGTGTTCAGTTCGAAATTCCAACCACCTGAAGAAGGCTGAGCGAAGAAAAAATAACGGCCGAAACGTTGTGACAAAATGGCGACAAAGATGAGGACAATAGTCCAACTAATGTAAATACTGTACATAATACCTCATCTCAGAAATATAGACAGACTTAGGTCATTTTGTTTTTACTTTCCTTTACTTCTTCTATGTCCCACATCCCTTCAGGACATAGAGAATTATGGCTCTACAAAACTTTCTATCTCTTGTGACCCTTAGCAGTTTTTCTCCTTTTGCTAAGGCTCCCACCCCTGGTTCCACCATTCATTCACACAAGTTCATCAGGTAGGTGGCTTGCTGACTTCCCCTATCTCTGTTGCACTTAATATGCCCTGTGAGTGTTAAGTTTTTCAATCCCTCTTTTCTCATTATGTGTCCAAAAAATTTCATTTATCTCTTCCTAATTTTGAGTATGAGTGTTCTTTTTGTTACCATTTTCTTTAAGACTTTCTTGTTGCTTAC